CTGTTTTGAGGTTCACTTACAGTTACAGTGTGTAGACTTTTGATCCATCGATTATATTTCCATGTAGGCTCGACTGGTTCGACATCATCCAAGGTATTTGATTTAGACCAAACCTAATCCTAAAGAGTAGCCGGTCTCTTTCTTGACAAAGTATAGAGAGCGAAGAAAAGCAATAGAGAATGACTCAGTATGTTTCTAATTTTGGAATTTAGTGAAGTGGTTGAGACAGAGAAGAATTAAGATTACATGAGATGATGTATTGAAAACTTACGTTTTTGGAAAGTACACGATGTCTCACAACTTTGTTCCTTGTTGGTGGCATATCATCAATCGTCATCGTCTTCTTTCTGTTTTTATACGCTTTCTGATTAGATGACAATGATCAAGTTGAACCGTGGACCTTTGAAGTCCCACCTTCCTTTCTTCTCAAAGATGGATAAGTGGATGAATGGTGGGTGTCTCTCTCTCTCACACATCAAGAGGCTACTGTGCAGATGGTTGATTGGGCTATTTGGAAAAGCAGAAATGTGATTATATTTGAGAAAAAAAGGATAAATGATCATCAAATTAATATGCAGATGGTTGATTGATTGGTCTATTTTGCAGATAAAGGAGCCGTCAAAAGAATGTTGGAGCTGGGAGCAAGAGTGCTAGATCGGGCAGCAAGTGAGGTGTTCACAGCCAGGCAGGGGTGGAGAATCAACGTCGCTAGGCTGGAGTATGCAAGAACTCTTGCTACTGTGGATCCGGGCGCTGCTGTTAGTTCTAGTGGCTGCTAGGCTTCTTTTAGTTCCGTGTTTTTTCTATTTTGTTATCTTGGGTGGTCTAGACTGGTTCCCTGGATGCTTTGGATGCTGGTTTCAGTGTGGGTGCTGGCTGGTGCTGGTTCTCAGTGTGGCCTTTTGTTTTTCGGTTTCGATTCTGGTAGCTCTAGTTTGGTCGTAGGCTGGTTCGCTGTTCTGAACTTTGTTGGATATTGTGGTGGTTTTCAGTAATGAAAATTGGAAGGGGCAAGCCCTTCTTTGATAAAAAAAGAGGCTACTGTGCCGTGCATTGCTGGTTTGCTGGCCATGCTCTGTCACTGCACTGTTCCATCTTTGCCTTGCCAAGATCGAAAGGTGGGGCTCCAAGGCTAAAGGAAAAGGCATAAAAAAGATGATGATGACTCATGAGAATGACCCACGTCTCCCTAACTATTTCTCTTTTTTTCTGTACAGGAAACCTCCATCATTATCTGTTCTTAATTACTCCGCTTAACAAACCAAACCTACACAAAGTAAACACTACATGAAAAATATTATACGCCACATATATTGAGTGAAAATTATCTGGGGCTCGGCATATAAGTTGTACGTGGAAATAGAAAGTCGGCAACCATTGGATGCTCGGCAAAGCAAAGGTTTACGGCAAGTACAACGAAAAAAACACACGGTATAAGAAAGGACCTCTGCTACAAAATACAAAAGGCACTCACCAAAATATATGGTCTCGCCATGCGGACACATGTCCCTTTCAACTGGGTTTGACGGCTCCACGTGACGGTGGGTGTTATTTGCCGGTGTCCACTAACAGATACTTGCCTTCCATTTTAGCAGTTTTAGTTTTGCATTTCCTTTTTTCTAATTCAGATAAGTGTAAGCGAGTGCCTGGTCGACTTCACAGTTTGCATTTCTTTTTTTGCTCTTTGATTTCTTAATGCGCATTTTTCTAATGTTTTCGCTTCCATTTGTATTTGTTTTTTCTATTTCTTTCTCTCCAGGCCTTTAGTATTTCCCACCCTTTAGTTTCTTCCCCTCCCTTTCCTACTCTCGTTCATTAGCACCACTATTTCCTCGCCCTTCCCACTTGTTTCTTTATTGTATTTTTCCTTTCCCTTCAATTTATATTTCTTTATTGCATTTTTGCGCTACAAGTTAGCGTCCCTAGTAATTTTTTGAAGGTTTAGTTATACAGGTTGAAATATAGTCCATTTTATGTAGATCATGTTCGAACTGTGCTGAAATCCGCCGTGTTTGATAAAAAAATGTCTGGTTCATTGAAATGCGGATTGAAATGTATGCGGGCATGATTGGGTGGGCTCCTATATCATTGCCTGTGAACTGGTCTCCACTGGTCACCGGATGAATACGATATCTGATATGGGAGTCGGCGTTGGAGATGACCTAAGGTATTTGATTTAGAGCAAATCTAATTCACGAAGAGGATCAAGTCTATTCCCTGACAAAGTAAAGAGAACTGAGAATCGAGCTTCCTCGGGATGATGACTTGAAAATTTGGGTTGTTGGAAAGTAAATGAAAGCAATAGAGACTGGCTCGGGTATGAATTTACTAAAGCAGGAGAGAGATAGAGAGAAAGAAGAATTGAGCATACTCGAGATGATGACTTGAAGACTTGGGTTGTTGGAAAGTAAATGATGTCTCGAACTATATTCCTTTGTTGGAAGCATTCCATCAATCGTCATCGTCTTCTTTCTTTGTTCTAGATGCTCTTTGATTAGATGACAATTATGAGTTGAACCGTGGACCTTTGGAGCCCCACTTCCCATTCTCTTCAAAGTTCAAAGATAGAGAAGTGGATGAATGGTGTGTGTG